AAAGGTTTCACTGATAAGACCGGGGTAAAAGATAAGTTATTCTATGAATTAGCCTTTTTTCGGAAATGGACATGTAGTTGAAAGAACGAAGCTTGCTTTAAATTCAGAGATTTCTATACATTAATTTAAATATTTTTTAAAATTTTAATAATATAATACTTTAATAAATTTTTTTATATCCAAAATTTTTCTAATTAACAGAAAGGTACGGCGTAGTTCAGTTGATTAATTATCAGAAAGGCTTCTTCTGAATGGTTAAAATAATAATACAAGGAAATAGTTATTTACACATGCCTTATGGCATAAGAAAAGGAACTTTTGAAATATATTAAAACTAAAAAGATTACATATACATAGAATGATTTTTAACTCTAACAAAATTACTGGTATGTTTCGGAAACAAAATTCAATACTGCCCATATAAGACCAACTAAGATTTTTTGCCAACTGCAAATCATTACGTAAGGAAAATTCCAAAAGCCATTTTGAAATTTTAATAATATGACTAATAATCATAGATACTACTTTTTGATCCAAACATGGGAGTTTGAACTAACTAAGAAAAAACTTTAAATCATCAGTATTATAATGAGCTAATAAATGTTAAATCACAAAATACAGTGACCATATGTAAGACAGCCAGACACAGTGCTAAAAATATTTATGGAAGTGGTTGTCTTAGGGAGGGGATAATTGATGACAATGTGTTAAATTACCACTTTTGTCGTCTGGTAGTTTTTGTCTACACATTTTGAATTGAAATAAATGCATTCGCACGGATGCACACACGGGGTTGTAGGAAAGAGAAGCAACAGAAAAACTGGAGAGTTGGTTAAATGAGAAAACCAAATCCTTAATACCATATTGACCAGAAAGAGACTAAAATGCAAATATAAGAAGCAATTCCTTAAGCTAACAATGAAGAAGGATTAAATTAGAATCAATGGTTAAAAACCATGGGATTTTTATTTTTATTGATATAAACATCAAATCCAATGAAGTGGTGTTCCCCCCAGTATTTTTCGATGTGGAGAAATGGAAAAATGTTTTTTTTTTAACTAGCAATCGTAGGCATGCAGAATATTAATTTTTATTTGAAATAATTTGTGTTGTTCAGTACAAAATTTAGGTCACCTCTCTGCTTTTGGGGGAAACTTAAAAAAGAACTGTGATAATTAAAAAAAAAAAAATACGGGTCACTAAAAAAATAAAAATTCAATTCTTTTCTTGTGTTTAACATATGTAATTATTACTTCAGTAGATTCTAATATTTATTTTATAATATGCATTATACTTAGGCAACAATACAGACATATATAAATTTTCACTTTTTTACTGTCATACATGCACAATTGCTTTTTTATTAACAAGAGAATTGAACAAAGCATATCAATACTTTTGTATCAGCAATATGAGTAGTTTCTGTTTATTAAGACTTTTAAAGTTCTCAAGAGAATTAATTCGAATAATGGAAATAATTGACTGTAGCATAGAGATTATTCATATTGCGTCACTCTCGTAGACAGCAAGAAAAAAAATTAAATATGAAGAGCGAGGGTCTTTATCAATTCCGCAAGATTTTCCATATACAATCTTGCCACAATTCCACATAAAGTAAACAAGTATCGAAGCTTCGTAATCGATTACAAAGCGCAAAGTTTATCAGCTATTCGTATCGATGGGAAAGGACGTTGGCGCCTCCGAAAAGGGGAAGATGGGTTCAATTGACGGATCTGAACTCATGCGCATGCGTGGTTAATTGGTGCAAATAGCTTAGCGGCTAATCGCACGAGCGCATCGCGTCATCTTTATGAAGTTTCTACTTGCCCGTTTTATGCACTACAAATCATAAGATTTATTTAAATAATGCAATTTTTAAAATGCTATTTTTTAAAGAATTCACAGCATTTTGCATATTTTGAGATTTAGTTTTAAATTAAAGGAAGGGGAGGAAATATTATAGGTTTAAAGATAGTATTGAAAATTTTCACGTTGATATTATTATGAGAAGTTCGCGCTTTTTCGTAGGTCTAAAACACTTTTTTTGGCGATAAAACGTAGAGGTCTAAACCGAAGAAGAGCAACCCTCTTAAACTCCTACTGAGAGTTTCATTTAGAGATCTCCAGAGTTCCAAAATAAGGGGGGCGCTGACATCTCACGACCGCTTTAAGGCGGTCATAGCGCTTTCGAGGGGTCTTTACCCTGACCGCTTAGAACCGTCAGTAATGCTTCGAACTTTTCCAATGCCCCAGCCTAAAGCGTCGTAACGCTTTCGAGGTGGCCGTCTTGACTGCTAAACCCGGTCATACGCTCGAGGGTTATTACATAAGTTGTTAGAATCTACTACTAACACAATCACTCGTAAAGTTATTAGTAAAAATATCCAAACTCCACGGCCATGGGTGACAAACATGACTTACATCGGAGACGAGATCATATTCGTTAGTGTGGTCGACCCGAAGGCCTTTACCATCATTTTATCCATCCCGCAGGACCGGTAAAAGTTCGTTAATTTCATAAAATGGAAAAGTCATGCACTTGTAAAAAGGCCAAATAGTCAGTAGTGAGAAGGTTGATCAGGGGTGACGTCATATATCGGCCACAGATGAAGTCTTCATTGGATAAGTAATAATAGCAACTAATAACTTTGGCATATCTTTTCGCAATGACATATCTTTTACACATTATCGTAGATTTGACATAGTACCGTACAGTAAAAATGGAGAATAATATAAACAAGTCCCAGAAATTTCCTGCTTTCGTCTGAGGCTAAAGTACCTATATATACTCATAGGGAAGTAGACTCATAGACTATATACTCATGAAATAGACTGTCAAGTGATATACTAATTTAATAATGATAAAGTCAGCAGCCTAATCTAGATTTTGTTTCATCTTTATCATCATTTTCATCTTACTATGGACTTTGTCCGGTACCATTCATTCATTCATTATCAATTGTGCTGAAATATCGCATTTTAGATGCAACGTGTCCAGCTCATGACTTGTATGAACAAAGGGCGCATGACATAGGTATCATCCTTGAACGAAAACGTTCGTTTTTCCGGGCGTCTGGACTGAAGTGTCCTATCCCCATCTATGTGGAGACACTTTTCGAATGTTGAGGTGGTAGCTTATGTAAGGCATATCTTTGTGGTAAGCAATTTATGGTGATAGCAATTTTGTCCGATGTTTGGCATGTTGTCGAGATTTGCAACTGCAATTAGAAGCCGGAGATTGAGCTCGTAGAGGCAGCATTTCACGGCGGAGTGCGGTAGTCGGCGTCGTAGCGTCCTTCATCGGTGAAGTCTGGGCTGTAACTGCGAGGTCTGGGCTGGAACTGGGAGGAGCAGGCGGTCATGTGATGCTGGACATCCAGTAGCTGGTCTTGGAGGAGAGAATTTCTGTGTTGGCTGAGGGATATCACATGCAAGCAGTGTTAATTGGTAGTTGTGTATGTGATGGGTGGTAATAGTGAAAATTTAATTACTTAGTGGAAGTTTAATTATTTACAATCTTTTTTCAGTCAGTTACATTTTCTTATTCCTTTTCAGTCATTTTCATTTTTTATTTTTCTTTTTTCTTTTTTTCATAATATTTTTTTGATATTTTTTTACATTTATATATATATATTAAATTAAGGCACAGTCCTTAGTATTGCTCTTGGACGCCGTCTGTTGACGGTAAGGTGGACATCGTATGTGAGGGCTGATATGTTAGGATTGTTAGATTTGTGTAGATTTCTGTAGAATTTTTCTCAGAAAATCATTAATGTACATGACATTAAGTTCCCTTCTGATGGCTTCATTCCTAACATACCAGTGTGCCTTTGCAATGATTCGTAATGTATTGTTTTCAATTGATGTTAATCTTTCTAAGTGCGTTTTGCATAGATATCCCTAGGCAGGGCAGGCATAAGTTAAAATGGGACGCAATACGGCCGTGTAAATGAGTAATTTATGGTCTAAGTACAAAACGCTGTTTCGAGTGATTATTGGGGCAAGTGTATGTCTACTACCTCGAAACTTTGTAATTAAGTGGTTAATGTGAGTCTCCTATCCAAAATAACACATAGGGATTTGGTATGCTTGACCCAGGGAACACATACATGCTAGCTTGACCCAGGGGACACATACATGCTAGCTTGACCCAGGGGACACATACATGCTTTCGTTGAACATGGTTATGCAGGCGTTGATGTTCATCTTCCTTGAGAATAAAACTGCTTCAGATTTGCTCACGTTGATTTGGATCTTCCAGGCAGTAAGCCAGGACTCAATAGCATATATGTGTTCCTGTGTCTGTTGTATTGCTGAGCTAAGTGTAGCACTTTGGGTGAGAATCGCTGTATCTTCTGCATACATGGCAAGAGTAGTCTTGTGTGCATGTGGGATGTCGTTCGCATAAATGTTAAATAATGTTGGCGAGAGGAGGCATCCCATAGGTATGAGGATACGCGCATGACATAGGTATGTCTGTTATGCGCCCTTTGGGGCATACAGATAGTAGATTAAACTGAAATATATTAAAGATTAAATATAAAAAGAAACCAAGAACTAACCAGAACGTCCATCTACATTTATGATTATAGTAGACCTTCGGCATGTTCATTCTATCCTTGAACATGTTTCACGTTTTTGCGCTTGGAATTTTGTCATCCCGCTTTTTTGTATATAATTTTTTTGGTGTTTTAGAACAACAATAAACTGAAATTAAATATTGTTGCCACTCATAAGTTGTATTAATAACACATTATTTGCATTTATGTGAAGCCAACGTGCCAAAATAACTCAGCATTACTAAATGCTTAACAAGCAGACGATAACAAGAACAAACTGTGCCTACTATTTTAACCGTTAGATTTACTGAACCAAGAATTTGGAGGTTTTTTAGTTTGAGATTTTTAAGGTATGTATTAATTTCAAGTTTTTTTCTTGTTTCCACCTGTTAAGTTGAATTTTTAGATAAACGCAGGAGTGAAGTACTGCAACTCAACTTCTTTTTGTGTATTTTGAAAACTGAAAGTGAATTTTGAGTTATGATCGTGTTAGTAGTTTTTCTAAAATATGATTTTATCTAATGAATTAACATTATTTACTTAGATTTTTAGAAGGAGTTGGAGGAACTTGAAAGTCTGATAACCTGATTAGTAGAATGTAAGCAACTGTGTTTGGAGAATTAATATTATCATTATTTTGAGATGTCAACCACAATTATTACCATGTTTGAATTACATTGTTAAAGTTTTTAATGCTTTTAAAACGTTTTTTTATCTTGAAACTCAATTCAGCTATCAGATTCTTTCAAATCATATTCTTTGAATTACATCATATTTAATTTTCGCTAATTGATGTTTTAGATATTTGCTTTTTTGTTACGTAGATTTGAAATCCATTTTACTTAATAATATAAACTGTAAAAAATACTTTAAAAGAGTATATTAAAAATTTCTTTATATATATATCTGTATACATGGTAGTTTCTGGAAATTTCTATAGTAAAATGAAAATAAATAAAATATATTCGTATTTAATTTACCTGTGAAATTCATTCATGAAATTAGATCTCTGATCAATTATGTTTTGTTGTCAGAATCAATTGGCAGCAATATTAAAACTTCGGGTGCTTTTTAATGTTAGGACAAAAAGATATTAAATGGTAAATTTAAATGAAAGATACATTTTTTAATGATCTAGATTTATTTATGTAATTGGTTATTATGTAGTTTCAGAATTTATATAAAATTTATTCAGTAAATTGTAAGTATAAAATAGTTTTATAGCTGTTATAGCATTATTGAAAGTAGACTGTCAAGTGATATACTAATTTAATAAATGAAAAATACATTAAAAATTTAAAAATAAAAAATATATTTTTTAATGATCTAGATTTATTTATGTAATTGGTTATTATGTAGTTTTAGAATTTATATAAAATTTATTCAATAAATTGTAAGTATAAAATAGTTTTATAGCTTTTATAGCAATATTGAATACTCCTTAAAAATTGTCGAAACTAGAAACTGAATACAAATTCTTTCACATGCCCATAAAGTTGTATAATATGTTATCATGATAATAAGCATTATTTCATTTCAACTGGGAGTCTGTTTTAAATTGCAGAGGAGCTTAATTATGTTTCACAAACAATTAATTATAATACTTCAATGAAGAAAACATGCATGATAATCTCAATAATTTATCCCCAAAGTATATGTCTGCATTTTGCAGTTATGTGTGCTCACTACAAAGCATTATTTCTGCACTGTGTACTTCTAAGAAATAATAGAACATTTTCAGTTATTTCAAAGTTCTTGAATTAAGCCATTTTTAAACAAAGAAATGTCCAGAATTGAAAATATGTTATTTGTTTAGGAAAATTGAAATGCTGTTTTTTAAGCGATTAATATTTCTTTAATTCTTTGTTAAAGTTACCACGTCAGTCTGTCACTGAAATTGGAAGATAATCGTCAGAAATGACAAACTTAACTGGTGGATTTTTAATGTGCAGTGTGTTTAAATTTCAGACTCTTGATTGCAAATCGTATCATTGATTCAATATTTTTCTTCCTGATAGATGTTTACCATTTTAAATGTATAATAATCTGTTAGGAAAGAAAAAATAATTTTTTAGTGTTTTGATAACATGCAACATGTTTGATTTTTCACACTGACTTTAGACCACATGATATTGTTCCTTTGTTATTTATTTTTGTTTCCCCTTCTTAAAATCTTAACTCTCTATTAAGTTCTTAAAATCTTAACTCTCTATTAATCTCTATTAAGTATTAACTCTCTATTAAGTTAAGTCTTCTTAAAATCTTAACTCTCTATTAAGTTATACTATTTATTATAAGTAACTCTCTATAAGTTAACTCTCTATTAGTTTCTTCATGATCTCATTTATAATTACCTTTGTTGTTTTCCCCTTCTAAAATATAAACCATATTTAACTTACCATCAACTGAAAGAGGAGCAGTGGCTTTCTCCCCAGGAGCAGAGAATTTTGCGCATGGAGCGAAAGTACGAAAATGGACACCAATTTATTGGGATGTAAAATATTTGGAGAAGAAAGTGAAAAATTCTAGGACGGAATTTTTTTTTTTTTTTTTTTTTTTTTTTTGCCAATAGTGTGTTTTGTGGTTGCAGGATTCCTATTATTGCTTCTTTCTATTTTATATAGTGTTATTCTGCAGAACTAACTGTCATCAGATGGTGCAATAGACAGTTGAATGTGTTTGACAGTCAGAAAGTTCCAATGGTTCTAAAATAGCAGCAGCAGCCAAATTATGGCTTTCACAAGTTAAATAACTGCTATTTTCTCTTGCTCTTTTTTTTTTTTTTTTTTTTTTTTAAGATTGTCAAAGCTTCACCATAGCATCTACTTTTTGCCAAATTAATTGTGAATTTTGCCAAAGCATTTGCTGTTGCTGCTTTAACAAGGAAGTATCAATATTTCTATATTTTCTAAGGATGGCATAGTGGTTAACAGAGGTTGACTGTTAGTCTAAATTCCAGGGTACAGATTTGTCTTTCATGTATAGCTTAACTGTATACATTCTTCCCCCATGCTTGTGGGTGTCATATTGTAGTACTCCTAGTGTGTATATGAGATAGTTATCTGAGATAGATCCTGTAGTGCATCTGAGATAATGTTTTAGTTAATCCAAATCCTAGTCGATAAGATGACCGTAAATTGCTCTCAAGCACGTTTTTGGACGTTGGGAGAGGGGGATAAGTATCTTTGGTACTGTAATAAGTACCTTTGCTGTCCTTCTCGCTTTCCATTATCCTGCCAGAATGCAAATTTCTTGTTTGTGTGTATTTAAATGAGGTAGAAAGGAAATAGTATTTAAAGAAGATTTAGAGGTTAGAATCAGAATATATTCTCCCTGCTGAAGGCCATGTTTACTAATTGACTGTCTTGAGAGCAGTGTATCTGTGCACTGCATTTTTCTTGCCATTAAGCTTCTTACACTGATATTAAATCCGAGTCAGCTTGTACATTTCTCTGTCTGTGTAGCCATTGAGCTAACTTACATCTTATAGTTAAGTTAAAGCCTTCTGTTAAATTTTATTTGAGTTGTAGAGACATTAGGTAATTTTTTGAAAGCAGGAAAGATGAAAAATGAGCAATGCCCTCGCCGGGACTCAAACCACGGACCTCTCGCATATGTGCCAAGCGTGCTGGCCACTATATGACGAAGGCATGTTAAGAAGGTGGGAGAAATATCATATATACTCCCCCTTTTAAAGGGCAACTGGGGGTTAGGGGACCCAATTGTCAAATCCTGTTGGTGAAGAATCATCATATATATGCTCTCAGGTTGCCAAGGCGAGAAACATTTTTGGCCATTTTAAGCCTAAAATGTCTCCAAAGACGCAGTTTTCGTATATGCAAAAACCATGCTTTGAAGACACAATTCAGGCTAAAAATCCGGAAAAAAAAAAAAATAAATAAATAAATAAAAATAAAATAAAATAAAATAAAATAATTTAGATAGCAAAAACATGAAGTTTCTAACCAAAAATATTTGACAAGAATCCATGTACACAGCGATATGTTTTAACTTCAAAAAACATCTACGAATTGCACATTCTAGACAGCAAAGGAGTCTACGAACTATGCACACCTATATCACATGTCTTTCTGACATTCAAAATTTCGAAAATAACAATAAAAACTTCCTCCAAAGTTAACTTACTACACGAAAACCACAATCCAAATCTTAAACTCCGCTGACAGCCACATACTTTACCTGCAAGCATTTGACTGCAATTCCACATAAGAACTATCAGAAAAGCCTTTCTTCGTCCGAGTTCTCATAGCAGCTCCGCATTTCGAACTCCGTTTTAAAAGTCCCGCAGAAATTCCCAAAATACACTTTAATCCTCATAAACACACCCGTGAACAAAAGACTCGTTAAGAACTCCAACATTGCACCTTTTAATACTAAATTTACTTTCCACACATTCTAAAATATACGACTGAAATCTTGCCACCACATCTATCATTGCAACATAGGCCATTTCAAAACACGCACGATACGAACCAACGAGCTATTAAACCACTCCAGCAAAAGATTTTTCAATGTCAACAGGGTTGCCATACAACACGCAATTGCACCAAAAACCAGCGCAGAACACATATCGCCACATTTGGTGATATTAAGATGCATATAAGAGTAGAGCCACCTTTTCTAGTTTGGCTGACACTGCAGAGCCATTAGGTAATTTTTTTAAAGCAGGAAAGATGAAAAATGAGCAACGCTTTCGCCGAAGCATGGACCTCCCGAATATGTACCGAGCATGCTGACCACTACCCCATGTAGGCACGTTAAGAAAGCGGGAGAAGTACCTTATAGAGTTAAATAAAACTGGTCTTTTATACCCTTTCTTAGTCTCTGTTGTAATTTGGAAGACCTTGCAATAAGTTGGTGGGGTCTAAATTTATACTACCAAGAAGATGAAATTCTATTGGATGACAGCATTTCCTTGTAAGAATTTAATTGCAACTATTCATTTTTCAGCAACTACCAAATCGTGTATTTAATACTACTTCCTTATATTATCCTTTCCCCCGCCCCCATTTTTTAATGTGTTAACTAAAAAAGCAACTGAAAATTACTGAATCAGTGGTCATTCTTCTCCTTACTTCCAAACATGCCATTTCTTAAGAAGTTTTCAAGTAAAATTAACATATTATCATAATTTGCATTTAGGTGGCTGATGTTCCATATGCAGGGTAAGTTGGCACCAAACTCTTTTCGTTTGCTATCGCCATTTCATTTTGCAATTGCCAATTGCAAAAGAAACAGTGATATAAAATGTAACATTGCCAAATTGCAATGAGGCTAAATACAACACAAGCATAAATTATTACAAAATCCTAACTAATATTATAAATGCGAATGTGAGTTTGTTTGTGTGTTACGCTTTCACGCCTCAACCGATCATCATGAAATTTTCAAGAAATATTTTTGATATATTAGAAAATTTTATAGGCTTTAAAATTTAACTTATCTGTTGAAACTTCAACTATATAATAGGTTTTTATAGCTTAAAATGATTGTCGTTGTATAAACATTAAATGCTGAAAGTTTCATAACGATAAGTTAAATGACGTAAAAGTTCGTCTGCGCACACAGCTGCGTGGC